CTTCCTCCGACAAATACGGTTAAATATCTTCAGTTCTTTTCTGCTAACGAAGCTATACTCTAAATTAAGTTATTTAGACGCACAAAAATTCGGGAAGAACATTCATTGTATAAAGGAGCTGTCACTCAAAACAACTGTTGCAATGTCTAGTGAATCAGTCCTCCAGAGTGATGGATTTCGAGATCATCAGTGTCTTTGCTTGATTTTATTTCGATGGGAATAGTACTGTCTCCGCACTGAGCCACCAAGCCAGTAAATTCTTCAGCCGCTTGTGGGCAACAGCTCACCCATGCACCCCAGTCTGGTACCGAGTCCCAATTTCATAAAAATCCATCTATACTCCTGCTGACTATCCCGGCTCTGGAGTGCTGTCACTCCTGGGGCTGCAGATTTTTTCCCCTGAACTATCCCTACTCAAAACCCAACAAACTGCACACAGTATACCTGAGTTTTTCGTAAAGGTTTGAATGTGTAAACCCACTGAGGGAGCAGAACGCGGGGAACCCAGCAGTCAGTAGGGCAGATAGACGCGACAATAGACACAATCTGATGAAGGCGTTGAGAAAACTCGCATTTCTGTCATATGTTTGTTTTATTACTAAACCAAACCCTAAACCTAATCTCAGCCCCAGCCGTAAGCCTGACCTTAAATTTAGCCGTGGCCCTAAACACATGCCTACTCCGAGCCTTAAAAGCCAACCCTAGCTACAATATACTAAAGCCAACCCGAAATCCTAATCTTAGCTTCAAACGCCTTCCGATGTTCAAGTCGTAAAACAACACGCCTACCTTAATTTAATAAGTAGGTGTGTCAAAATAGTAGAAATGTGAACTGGCATATTCAGTCATTGCTGCCTTTCACTACTTGCTCGATCCACGTCGCGTGCTTTTTCAATAATGCATATAAAATGACACGACACAATATTATCGCCATTATTATTATTATTATAGTGTGAAAACGGACGCACGGGCTCTGCCTTGAAGACGAAACTAATTTTTCCATTACGAAGACACCGAGTTGAGTGCCTGCAAAACTGGAGGTGGAAATCCCTGAAAATGTTGACGAAATATTTTTCTATCCGGGTTTAATGCTATCTTAACTGCCCTTCAGCCCTCTGCGGAGGCAATCACGAAGGAATTTCTGATTCCTACTTTATCGGGTTTTACCTCCTCAGCAACCCAGCATCGCCATCATCATGAGTCCCAATCGCTCCCTAGAAATTCTCACTAATTGACAGAATATTCATGTGGTTATCTGCACTATTTGTGCGCGGAGACAATCATGTTCAACTTAGTGTCATTTGACGAGGCAAGTGACCCAGTTTAGAGGTAGAAGTCGGCAAAAGTGGTTTGAAACACAAATCGGGTGAACTTGGCTCCGTCGCTCACTGGTTAGGGGAGGGAATGTCGGGGAAGGCCAAACCTCGACTAGAAATTTTTCAACGTTTCCGCCACATGCCACGAAAGGGATTTAGAATGCGATGGGTCACCAGTTTTGCAGTCAGGAACGGAGACTTGTGTTTGGATTCCATTTGCATGTGTGAGAAAGGAAGAAGAGGTTTATAAGCCGATACCTAGCGTTCGCGTCTGCAGGACTCAACCGGGTACATCAACGAAGAATTAACTGCTCTGCCATGCGAAAAGGGCGTTTCAGTAGAGACTAAGAACATTTCTGCAGGACTAAGTGCCGGCATCGCACACCGGCCCAAAGCTGCCATGTGCGGCAGGGCCATGAAAATCAATGAGCGAGTAGGTGCCAAGGGACAGTCTGGGGTAGTGTATCGTATCTCTGGCCTAGACACCTTGTAATTACAAAGGTCCGACTGAATGTATGCTCAGATCGATCCTGTGCGAAAATAAGATGACTGGGCGGTCGGATGACGGAGCATACTAAGTGTCTGCCCATGATTCGAAACGGGTGATGAGTTTAAATGAAGAGCCACCAAACTAATCGCCCATGCAAGAAGCAAGAGAATCGGAAAACTGATTTAAGCCCCGGCCTCGGAACTGAGCTCGCTAAATCGATGTATCAATTTAGCGCCGGCATGCAGAGTCCTGTGCGACCACTTACAGACCTGCCTCAATTAACGTCCGTTAGTTAACTGTGGCTTGTTCCACTGGCGCCTTATTTCTCTGCCGACGGACTCCCGCGCAAATCCGAAAGTTACGAAAAATAACTAAATGGTTTTTGTGTTCGACCAGTCTTCCCCATTCTTACATTTGCAGTCAGTTTTACCATTAAAAGTGAGAATTCGTTTGATGCACTAGCATTACCGAAAGAGACGAGGAAGGCTGGAAGAGCCATTTCTGGCTTATTGACCATCGTCAGTCAGCCATACCTGACTCGGATCCCGCGACCTGTTGGTTAGAGGTCAAACACCCCTAACCACTAAACCACGGGCTCATTACCCAGTCAGTTGCAGTCGGGTAAAAGGGCATCGAACGATCGCGCTACGGAACCCACCCTTCCCGTTGTGCCTTGGGACTTTCTCTCGAGCCCCACTAGCAGCCGCACAGCAGCGCAGGATATAGGCAGAATGATATTACCGACAAAGACAATGGGGATGGAATGAACATTTCTGGCTCGGTAGTCGTCGTCAGCCAGTCATACCCAATGCCGAGGTGTGGAACAACTGACGGTCGATCCTGCGACCTGTTGGTTAGAAGTCCAACGCCCCTAACCACTGAGTCACGGGCTCGTTGTCTTGTCGGTTGCGATCGGGAATATACAATGGTAGATGAGGGTGCTCGCCGATCATGTTACGGATCTCAATCGTCCCGTTGTGCCTTAGGGCTCTCTCTCGAACCCAATCAACAGCTGCCGACGACGACTAATTAAACATAAATGGCCATTCCAGTCTCTCATGTCTTTCTCGCAAATGTTATTCTGCACCGCTTGGGGACTATAGTTGGGCTCCAAAGAGAGCCCTAAGGCACCACGGGATGGATGAACTCTGTAGCGCGATCGGTGAACTCTCTTCTACCGAAGTAGTTTAAGCATTCCCATTGGTCGGACTTAGTTTGTTCCACCCTCTCATCATTCACGTTACATCTCTGCAGTCGTCAGTGAGTCAAGCGCCATTGACAGAAGCATATTTGCTCAGTTAAGCGGAAGAAAAAAAAAAACAAGAACAAAAGTTTAAACTTTCAATAACTAATAAATACTGGCGACTGAAGGCGTTGGTTCCGTTGGATATTTCATCAAAAACCGGCGCGATTTTCATTTGAAAGCGAAAGAATAAACTAATTGTCATGCTGGAGTGTGGGTAAAACGCATGAAAAGTCCATAGGTCTTCAATTATCCCACGTATAAAAGGGAACTCACTTCCGAGAAAAGGCGAGAAACGCAGGAAGTTATCTCGGGTGGTGTAGAATGAACTTCAGTGGGTGTTGAAATTCCAAGTTTGAGGTAAACTTGCCTCATAGATCAGGGCTTTGTTTGACCAAAATGGTCTAGTAATCGCAGCTCAAACTTATTTTAATCCGTAAACAAATCAATTGACAACAATTTTATTCGTCTGATGCTTCGGATTCACATTCAAATTTAGTATCAGAGACAGCAAATATCCTTTTGGATGTCAGTTTACGGATATAATCAGTACTAGTATTGAACAAACACTCCTAGCCTAACTGTGTAGTTTATTTGAGTTTGGACAGTAGTAATGGTGATAATAATAACAATAAAAATAGCGACCCTGGGCAATGAGATTGTTCAGCAGAAAAGTAAGAAAAAATCACTGCAATACAAAGCAGGAGGCCTTGGCCACGGTGACAGCGGGACGTTGCACGCCTGATTCTTTTTCATTGAACAGTGGTCATGAATCGGACCAGGATATGCTGGGATCGCAAGCCCTCTGTCTTTGACTGGGGAATCCAATGACTGTATGTCCGAAAGCGATGTTAACGGCATTCGCCTCGAAAGGAGACCAGAGAGAGAAAGAAAAATCAAGGAATCCAACTAAAAGCGGAAGGTAAAATTCAGTGTATTTGGCGCTTAGAAGTTCTAGAAACCGTCCTGAATGCAAAAATGGCGTAAAGGTTCTTTTTCGTGAATGAATGGAAGAGAATATGCGCATCCCAGGATCTTGTTTAAAAGAAGGCGAAGGCACGATCACTGGGACAGTAGGTTTATTTGCCTGAGCTTTCGAACTCGAACTAGAGTTCATCATCAGAGACTACTGGATTGCAGCAAATTGTGAACATTTATATCATTCGTCCTTGCGGGGGGGGAGGGAGAGTACTTCCGTGGCTAGCCACTTTTCAAACTTCTCAAATGAAACTTATTATACTCCCAAAACTAACTCAGTAGCAATTATTATGTGATGCTGCCTGCACGTCGGATTAGCTCTTTTTGCAAAGTCTTTGTCGGTACCTGGGTTTTCCTGTAACAGAGTCCTTAACCAGAAATCGAGAGGTCAGCGTTTTTTGTGCATCGTAGGGCGTAGGTTCTTCGGTTCTCACAATCTGCAGCAACTGAGAATAATAGTCGCATTTGATATCCCCATGTGTTTGTTGTTTCAGAATGTCCTGAATAAAGGACAAACCGCTAGCTCGCCTGTTTAGATGGAAATCAGAATGTTATTGCTAAGAGACTGGAATTGCCATTTCTGGCTTATTGGCTGTTATCAGCCAGTCATACCCAACCCAGAGGTGTGGGACACTTGGGGCTCGAACTCGCGACCTGTTAGAAGTCCAACGCCTCTAACCACTGAGCCACGGGTTCGTTGTCTTGTGGCTTTCGATCGGAAACATACAATGGTGGAGGGACGCCCACCGATCGTTTTTAGGGAACTCACTCGTTCCGTTGTGCCTTATAGGCTCTCTCTCGAGCCCAATCGGCAGACGCACAGCGGCGCATGATATAGGCAGAATGTTATTACCGACAAAGGCAAGGGAGACTGGAATGGTCATTTGCGACTTTTTAGCCGCCGTCAGCCAGTCATCTCTCAAGTCTACGGAGACGAACGGGGACTTAATCGATAAAGACGCGTGCACAGAGCATGTCACGGCCACACACCTGTGTCCGGATCGAGGATGAGCTGGACTACTTCAACAGCAATGCAAGCGTGAACCTCGATGGACCGCAAGTCAAGTATCCTGAGCCTCCACCACGAAGGCCCGGGAAATTCCGTTATTCCCTCTTCTCCCTCTTCAGCTATGTCGGCATGGGGAACTGTTGCTTCTTCTGCCTCTTCTCCTTGCTTGGTTTTGAAGAGATCATGCGGGCCCTCGGATACATTCCACCATTCTCCCTATACTTTGGCCTCTCGCAAATCCCCTTCACGTTGTTCTGTGGACCCTTTGCGATGTGCAACCTGAGAAGAAAGTTTCGGAAAAAGTGGAAAATCCGTGGCAACATCCTGCTCGATTTTATCTTCTCCCTCTTTTGCTGCTGCTGTGTGGCCTCGCAGCTTTTGAATGAGTCGAGAGCTATCCTACTTCTGGGGGAACTTAATACACCGGAAACGCAACCACTGAAGAAGGGAAAGAAGAAGAACGCGAAACTAAAGAGAATAAACGTTTAACTTCGTTCTCAGGTGGAACTGTCACTAAGAAGACCACTGCGTATATGTTAAATTAACTCCTGTGTAACCTCAGACGCACCTACATTGTCAGTCGTCAGAAGACTCTCAACGGGTGAGGTTTGATTAAAATCTTAAAATAAAGTGGGTGCGCCTGTGAAAGGCATTTGGTTTCCTCGGAAATAAGTGCGTACCCCGGTCCTTTCATTACGCAGATTTTACTGATTTCTTATTCCACAGAACGCAATGGCAAGAAGGCGACATGTACGCCCACGCGATTCGCAACAAAACTGCCTGCGGATGTCGGAAGAACTTTGATTTTAAAAAATTCTGCGCAAACGATGCAGATGGTACTTGTGACGGTTCATTTCACTGCATCTGCGACTGGCACAAGCTGAGGATGAAGAGGAGGACATCTCTGGATGATTTCCATTATTCACCTGATGTTTCTAACGATTGGGAACCCCATTCACTGTCAGTGATTAAACTGGTTAACCAGCTTAACCAGAAACCAAATAAACTACCAAGGTATCTGGGGCTACTCCATTGCCCTTCCCGATATCTACTGGTTCAATCAGTTTTGAATTGCTAGAACGGTGGTGACTGTGATGTCTGGGTTAACTGAGGTGTCACTGTATCGACGTGAGCTGGTCGTAACCAAGGGGTCACCGATCAGCCTGAAGTTTTTGTCAGTTTAGCTCTCTTGTGTTAGGTCACTTCTGGATGACTCTCTCAGCAAGTGCGGCGCCGCCAACCTATCAGTGTCCCTACCAATGCACTGACACATTCCTCCCCCCCAAACGCGGAAGGGGCCGAAAGACATTTTGATCTAGCTGTCATCTGGAAGTCACGCCTCAAGTGCGAGTCGGTGTAATACTGGACAACCCAGGCTCACTGTGACCATCCCTTAGACGTCGAAGGACAGGCGGTCTATCTGATGTGCATTGCCATTCGTCAGTTGGTGTTTTGACTCCGTGTCGTTAAGCCGTATTCGTTAGAGTAAAAAATAGTTGTTCATTTGACTCGATGGCCTCTAAGTTTATCGCCGTCGGGTCAAATGGATCATTAATATCTGCCGAAACACCTATTAAGCCGTTTCTGTCTAATTTCGTCGACGACACTAACGTTGCCGCTGTACTGACCGTCGATCCTGAGGTCCACCGACGTTTCTTCATTCATCCGTGAATCCTGTTTAGCCAAGTTTATCATTCTACAAAAAGCTGTGGGATTGCTATGACTGCCGAAGACATTTCAAATGATTTCTTTGCAGCTCAAGCTGAGTGATTTGGACCTCCAGAACGCATTCGTGTGGAGTCTTGCTTAGAAAGAATAGTCAATAAAATTGCAAATTAATTCTCTCTCTCTCTTCTGATCCATTGAAGTTTCTTCTATGGACACGCAGTACAATCATAGCTTGAAGAGGCTATTTAGAAGTATAATGGATGAAGTGACAAGAATCAGGTGAGCTTTAGATTAACGGCATGCATAGTGCACATAAGGCCCAGTTTGTGTGTTTTTGGATGCGTAGTCGGTTTGACATCTTCTTTCGATCTAACGCACAGGAGCAGGTGGAAAATGGCATGGAATAATAAGTCCAAAAATCATATGTTGACACTCGTTCTAGTAACGCGAAAATGTACTCGCCGAGCGCTATCAAATCGTGAGACCTTTCGTGTGGGCATCATGAAGACTTGCCGGCGTCCTGCGGAAGACAGAGTGGTCCGATGTTTCCTCAGATAGCCTGATCAAACTGTTCCAAATTGGCTGGTGTTCAGAGTTTAGAATGAAGGTGAAATCCCTACAAGCTGAACGACAGCGGCACTTTGGGGTATGAACAAAGAAGTGCAGTAGGCCTCATGCCGGTAGGAAATTGTTAGGAAAAAACGGATTGTAAATATAGCAGGGCAGTAAAGGTGGTACAAATAGAGGGCTGGTACCTGATGGTGGTGCTCATAGGAGATTTCCATGGCAGCCTCCTTTGAGGTGGTATAGAATCCTGTTAAAATTCCCTCCCTTAGACCTTAGACGCGAGATCCTGTATGATGACAAATATTAATTAACTGAGACAGTCAGCAGACATCCTGAACTCGTCACGCTCGCAAGCACAGACAATAAACATCAAATTTCAATTGTATGCAAACTTCGCCCCTGTCTGGTACTTTTGTGCGTGTGGCGCATATTTATTCAGATTCTGTCTCGACTTTTGACACGTACATGATTTTAACAATGGATATTTCGGCAAAATATCTCAAAAAACTGGAATACATCGTAGGATTCGAATTGGCTGCAGATAGGTCCTGGGAAGTTCTGCAACTACGGCACCTTAACGTCGTTATAGTATAAATCAAGGGTGCGATTCGAAATTTTCGCGTCCGACGTTGCGTTTAGGGGACTTGTACAAATCCTGTGAACTGTAGTATTTTTGGTAAAACTAACTTGTTGTAGCACCCGGTGAAAACAAACCATTTTGCTACTTTAATCAAATAGGTAGTGTGGATAAGTTGCCGGTTTATCGGTATACCGGCTGGCGTTAGGCTTAGGGCTTTCTTCTGAATCCGTACACGTTAATGTGTTCCGTATCCCACTTGTCGCTCACATTTTCATCTGCGGTGTAACAGACGCTTAAATATAGCTCGCCATCTCCGTAAGGTTAGCAGTGAATAGTGGCAAGTAGTAATTGCTAGCGCGTACGGTTGCTGCCATTGACGGTTGCGTATGACGTGTAGGGCTAGTTTGGCGTTCTTATATGTCGCTTCCAAAAAGCAAATGGCCAATCCGTCAGGAATTTATTCGCTAAAGCAAATAAGTCGCTTATACACAGAATCATTGTTATCGCGCATTTCCTAGGTCATGTCTTGCTCACTTTTGACGGTTCCAACCGTACAAACCCAATTTCCATCAAAACGTGTTATTGGCGATTGCAAGATGAGGCTGTGACAAATCGACTTAGTCATTTTTTTCGCGCCTGTCACATATTCTGTGAACTAAACCTACGCAGGTTTTAGGATTATAAATATGCGAGTCCACAAGTCAAATCTTTAGCCGTAAAAAAAGTCAAAAATGAAAAATGACGACGAACCAAGGGAAATGGCCCTGCCGTCCGCGGCACGGCAAGTATGTCACATTTGTCCTTCGCTTTCATTGGAGAATCCTCCTTGAACTAACAAAATCGTCCGACTACATTTAGATCACGTAGCGTAGTTCGCATGAGGCGCAGGTAGATTTTCGAAGGCCGTAAATATACACAATCATGCGAACTCTTCGATATCAGTCCTTAAAACTTTTCCCCAAAGACAATAAAATTTGTTTACGGGAGGCATAAAAAACTGGAACTCTTGTAATTACTTCTATATTTGTCAGATAAAAGTTGTGTAGGCATCAGACATGACAAAAATATGCTCATTTTTTAAGTGTCCATTCATCTCGTGTGGTTATAGTGACGATTCTGAAGATGAAAAGGGGGGTTGAACAATACCGTTGCTTGTGGATAGCTTGCTACTATGTGCGAATGAGCCTTAAATTATTTTTACCCTTCTATGCAAATAAATAATACTCTTGGTCTAGCCCAACTTTTAATATATTCGTCAGCTTTCCGCGATTTCAGAGACCCGCGCTGCTCGTTTTTACGATGACACCACACATAGACAATCCTCCTACTTCATGTAGAACAGGGCGTAAGTTAAGAAAAAAGGTAAGATTTCGAGACTACTGGCTCGTTCTTGACTGGAAAGCTAGAGGAATGTTTTGCCTTTCAACAGGTTGGATCTAGATTTGGACCAAAAGTGCACAGTGCATTTATGAATGTTGACAATATATGTGTGCCCGCGTAACCAAACAAAATAAGACTACCAGTAACGAGGCTCAATGTACCATTTGTCTTTTATCGTGATGTGAATAAGTACGGAATATTAAAATAAGGCACCCGAAGTCCTGGGCCAGGCTAGCAGCCATAAGTCTAGCCGAGTTGTCCATTTCAACCCAACGAAATGTACCAAGAAGTTAATGCGTAGATTTGCATGTAAATTTATTTTTACTTGCTTTGATGGGACCCCGACGGGTCTTTAATAAAATAATTGAATTGAATTGATATCTCAATTCACATTTACGACTCCAAAGCAAACCTGACGGTTCGATCGTCGCTGCCGACGATGTCCCCGTGCGCACCACAGTGAAGTGACGCAGGCACGGAGGCTTGCGCGCGATTTAGTTTGCAGTGAGTGTAGACTTGCCCAACATCTATTGCACTCTCTCCTCCCCTATTAAGGCCCGGTGTCAAGACGGAGTCAAGATGACCGGAGACGGGGGAGGGCGCCGGTGGATGGCGCGGCCGAGCCCGCACCTTGACGCTCCATTCCACACCCCTGTTCTACACAACAGATGACCTGGATTTTAACCAAAAAGAACACCACAACGGGCCAGATGAAGGGGAATGACTAGGCAGACACGCTCACAACCTGCACACCCAGCGGGAACGCAAGCAATTCTGCCGGCAAGTAACCAGGTGTCAGAGAATTGCCAGAGCATACCAGGCTGCGAGGTCATATTTTGCCGATCCCGGCATGGCAGATCCTTAAGCTCAGAATGGTGACACGTTGTCCTGAATTTGTTTGGGCCGTCGCCCTTCAAGGCTGGGTAACCAAACAGTCGCCGACTGAGAGGCACTACCCATAAAGCCCACATACACACACACTCCTCTTATGCGTGAGAGTGTCACAGATCAGTTAAGACGGAGTCATTACAGCCTGGGTCCCAGCCCAGCAGTCCATCACTCCACACAAACACACACGACTAGGCAGACTGCGTGGGCTGAGTTGGGACGTCGGTCGGAAGCCTGCTAAACTTCGGCGCTTGGCGTATCATGATAGTCTCATACTCGGATTACACATCCACGAAGAACACTTCCCATTTGCGCGAAAGGTGGATGCCTTTGATGGGTGATAATGTTGTGTGGTACGAGTGTTGGTGGGGACGATGTGATGGTGTGGTGTACCCAGCGAGTGGAC